TGTTGTCCTTGTGCAGAGACCATGCTAATCTTCTCTTCTCTGTACTGCTCCGATTTTAACAGCTGCAATGGCCAAAAAGGCTTTGGTCTTGCTTTTTGGTTGCGGAGTTGCTATCTCTGTACTGCTCCGATTTTAACAGCTGCAATGGCCAAAAAGGCTTTGGTCTTGCTTTTTGGTTGCGGAGTTGCTATTCGTTTGCTAGTTCCGTGCCTGGGACTGGGACTGGGACTTTTGCGGGGACAATTTGACTTCATCACTCACTATTCAGTTTCTCCATTTGTGTGTCTTTCTCAGCAATGGCGTCGTCGATAAGGCATTCTCAAGGAGTGGGATCTTCGGAGACCGATTACGTATTGGAGCGTCTGAAACGTTGGTTTCAGATGGCCCGGTCCTGAGATTGTCTGCGAGACCTGTATATGGTGCTGCTTCTCGAAGTTCGAGGAGAATGGATTGTGTGGGGAAGAAAATGCTTGTTGCGATGGCAGGAGGCTATAATACTACTGGTGCTTTTCCTGAAGGAGTCCAGGAGTCGTCAAGGGGAAGGCATGTGCCAACTCTCCGTTCCAAAGGGACTGCTCCAGTTGGTGCCACGCTGAAGGTTTCCGAGCCCGTGCACAGTTCCAATGATCGACAAGGTGATGATCCGTCATTGCCACAGCTGAAGCCAGCAAAATCACAAGGTAATGAATAAGGTAACAAACTGTATTGATTTATCCTCTTCTCCTCCCCCTCCCCCTCCTCCCCCCCCCCTCCTCCCCCGCGCTTCCTTCTGCTGCTGCTGCTTATTTTTGCCAGGCAGGACAGGTCTGTTTTTTTGGTGGTGATCGCTCAGTGAACCTCCACAATGAATTATGCATTTTGCTTCTCGACGTTCTCGTTGATTTTCTTTCAAGGCTTAAAGCGCAACCGACAGGGCAAGCTGTTGGAGACCAAATCTTGCAACAGCTAAACACTCTTACCTCGGATCAGCCCTTGTCGTCGCCCGACCATAGGGAAGGAACATAATGACTGTGGAAACTCAAGAAACTTGCTCAATGCCGCTCTCTGATCCCCACCTGCAATTCGGCTAGGATGGGATTCACATGCTTTCTGTCATGAGGATTATGAAGTCATAGCCCATGCAAGTTTTTGATTTCAATGCGTTTGACGACAGGTTAGTATCGCACTCGTGTACGGCACGCTGACATGTCATGTCCAATCTGTAGACAGGCGCTGGAAAGGCAATGTCTCTACAATTGTGGTCGGCGTGCCGCTGTGTTCCTTACATGTAGGAGCCACGTAGCCTGTGACATCTGTCTACGCCGTGCCATGAGATGCAGCAACTGTAACTACAGCTGCGAAAAAGTTGGATGTGGTGCTTCCGCAGCCCACAGCCGAACCAGTCTCGTCCGGTCTGCAGGTGTTGCATGCCCGTGAACACAGACATAAGTATGGCGCAGAATCCCAGAACCACCAGATAATACAGAGTAAATACAATTACAGCGGAAGACTTGATACACATGGATTGACTCAGACCCGACTCAGACTGCAACGAATCCCTCACAAACATGCATCGGTGGTGTGAAAGCCCTGGCCTTGGACATGGAAGAAAGGGCCAGGGGCTGATCCCATACACAGACGAATGGAGGGGAGGAGAGACGAAGGGAGGAGGAGAGAGAAGATGACGTCAACTCGATGTCTCCAAAAATAGTATCTCGAAATGTCAGAAGTAGCGAAAATCGGAAATGTCGCGAATACAGAGTCTCACAGTGTCTCAGATATCGATCTCACAATGCCAAGATACATCTCCAGAGGTAGATGAAGTCAGATCCCAAAGTAGTCCCCAACCTGAAGTCTCAATGTTGCTATCTCCAATGTCAACAGAACTCGTAACCATCCTTCATACTGGTAGTAACCCAAGAAGTAGACTTAGACTTAGAGGGCAGGAGGAGGGAGAGAGAGAGAGCGGAGGAGAAGAGAAGGAAGAGGGAGGAAAGGTGAAGCCTTTCTCCCTGATACCTGAATGACTGCGATGTCCTTGCTGGTGTCCGCTGAGGCCGAGCCTGGCGATGCAGCTATGGCGCTGCAGTGCTGGGCGCTCGGCTGCGGGCTGAGCTAGAGAGCTGGCGCTAATCCTTCTCCCTGCTGCGCTAATTCTCCTCGCTGCCCCTCTATGCTAAACGAAACGCTGTACTAACCTAACCTACTGAGGCTGGTACCCAGCTGATATAGCGCTGGGGCCGGCCTCAATGCTGCTGGTACCTTTGGGTCTGGACCGTTGATCGGCCCCAACGGTTCAGATCCGAAACCGAAATCTGAAAGTGGCGCCTAAACCTGGCTGCCTTCAAAACTGCGCCGTTGGTAGGTCCTAGAGTTGGACCGGTACCGGCCTGGCCCTTGTGACCGTTGGCCTACTTGGCCTCTGGGCCGACCTATGGAGAGCTGGCGCTAATCCTTCTCCCTGCTGTGCTAATTTTCCTCGCTGCCCCTCTATGCTAAACGAAACGCTGTACTAACCTAACCTACTGAGGCTGGTACCCAGCTGATATAGCGCTGGGGCCGGCCCCAACGCTGCTGGTACCTTCGGGTCTGGACCGTTGATCCGCCCCAACGGTTCAGATCGGAAACCGAAATCTGAAAGTGGCGCCTAAACCTGGCTGCCTTCAAAACTGTGCCGTCGGTAGGTCCTAGAGTTGGACCGGTACCGGCCTGGCCCTTGTGACCGTTGGCCTACTTGGCCTCTGGGCCTACCTATGGGTCTGAACCGATGTGACCCCTGACCCTAGGCCTAAACTGGCCTAACTATGGGACTGGGCCCTAACTGGGGCCCGTGTGGTGTCAGAATGCCACAGCAGGGGTGACCACTTACCATAGGAAACGAGTCAAACGACTGATCCTCAACTCAAAATCTCCGGCAACCGAAACATTGACTGGCCTGTTGTGCCATCCTAGAGTAGTCTCCTCCAGCGGTGAGTATTTAGAACCCTGTGAAGTTTGTCATTCTTCTATCCTGTCCTTTGCCCCTCCATTCCAACTCCTCTACTTTTTCTCCCTCCCCCGCCCCTCGCTTCCTATATCTTCTACCCATAGTTGCGGTGCACCAGTGCGCAGTGCGGTGCGGGGCGGTGTGCACTGCGCTGTGCGCTGGAATGACAGCACGCACACTGTGCGCCGTGTGCTGTGCGCTGGAATGACAGCACGCACACTGTGCGCCGTGTGCTGTGCGCTGGAATGACAGCACGCACACTGTGCGCCGTGTGCTGTGCGCAATGTGCAGTGCGGTCCGCTGTGCACGGTGCGCGCACTGAGGGAGGTGCGCCCTGTGCACGATATTAAAAAAAAAGAAAAAAAAAGAAAGGCCCCCGAGAGAGAGAGAGAGAGAGAGAGAGAGAGAGAGAGAGAGAGAGAGAGAGAGAGA